TGAAGAAGATTACAAACTCCACCTACCAAAATATCTTTCACTTTTATGATAGATAAATGTTTTTCTTTTTGACATAAAATACAATAAGTCGAATGATAATGACACTAATATCTATGGCATCAAAAAACAAAAAAAAAAAACAAAAACAAAGAGACCAATAAATGTTGTGTATTATTTTAAATTTTTTTCTTAGAGACGCAAATTTGTCTAGACGTTGCGTAATTTTGATAATCGCTCATTTATCTTGCTAGACATCCTTCTTGAATTGGCTTAACTTTTGCCTCTCCAGTGAAAAAGAGCTCTTGAAACGATAAGCAAATTTAAAAATGCTTTCTATTTATTTTGACTTGTGTAGTCTGGATTTGAATATTAATACGTATACATATTTTTCGTATTGGTATAGAAAATACCAATTAGAAGACAGACAAATTGAAAATCGAAATTCCTCGAATTGTATAATTAATCCTATGTCAATGAAGTGATATTTTCAACCGGCCCAACTCCAGTATATTTGGGAGGGTTTCAAATTATTTAACTCTTGCAATGATTTCTGAGTCAAGCATAGACGTCAATGGTGGCTTTGAACATCAACATTGGCTAGAATCGATTCAAGAGTAATTTCAATATTTAACCACCCACCAAAGAACATAAAAAAACATTAAAGAAAACATTAAAAACCCATTAACCTCCCCAAACCATTAAAAACATTAATTCCTCCAAAACTATTAAAACATTAACAAAACATTAAAAACTATTAACCCCACCAAACCATTAAAAACCCCATTAATCCCCCAAAGCCATTAAAAACATTTAAAAAAAACAAAACCATTAATCCCCTCACAAAAAAAAAAGAATGAATTGTGATGTTTCCCTAAATTTTTAATCAACGCTTAATGAAATCAAAAGAAACAAAATCATTTTGTCTGAAATTCTGAAACGAGGTTTCGGCGCATTCATTTTCGAAATTTCGTCTGTGTTTTCTTTGTCTGGCCATTTCTGCCGATGGACGTTCCAGCATTCTTTCGTTTTCAATTTCTTAGAAATGATGAAATCACACGAGTTCCATTGTTTTTATCACAGCGTATTTGCAGTTTTATCTTTCGGCTTTCTTTAGGGTTCGTTTCGATTTGTTGTAACATTTCCAATATGTCGAACCCAAACTTTTATTTGATCTCTATGATTATGTTGGCGTTTATCCGATGACATTTCGGAACGAGAATGAATCAATTCTTCCTTATCAAACCCGATCTATCAATCCAATCGGTGTATTTTTTCAGCAATGTCTAACTCAGACATTTCACCTTAGAGAATTGGATGAGTTTTACAACATTTTTTTTTTTTTTTTTTTTTTTTTAATAAAGTATGTTTTAAATCTTGAATCTAATGTTTGTTAATTTTTAATTAACAGCTTCCGAACGAAGA